CTGTGCAGGCTGCAGCATGGCCACCCTCAGCATCACCTCAATTAATGCTAAACAAGGGGCACTTAATGAGCCCAGACCTGCTGAGCATCCTCCCCTTCAGCAGTGCCCTCAGGTCCAGCAGCTGGGGTGACTGATGCCTCCTGTTCCCACCAGGTCCCCCCAAAGACTCCAAGGCTTCACCTGCACTGCAGGTCCAAAGCTGACCCTCCAGCTGCACCCATTCACTGGATGAGGTGATGTTCCTCCTTGTCTTGGATCTTCCAGATACCTCCTAAGTGCCCAGAGAGAGGCAGAGAGGGATTGGATACCCCATAGCCTTTCTAGGCTCTCTGTGTCCATCCCAGGCACAGTGAAGCCCTGGTTCTCATCACTGAGCTGTACAGCTCCTCTCACACCCTGCAGCTGATGGCATTTTGATCAAGAGGTGGCTTCTACTCCGTCTCTGGAAGATTTAAATGTAGTTTTCAGCTATCACAGAGGAAACAGATTTTCCCTGTCGCTGAAGTAGAATGAATATTGGGCACTGCACTTACGCCTGGGGTATTTTAATGCTTTGAAGTTCAAGATCATTAATGTTCTCAGTAACAATTTTATCATTTTAAAAGGAGACCCTGTTCAAATCTTTGGACCTTTACAGTGCCTGCTCCTGTAAGGCTATCTGAAAAGTGATCTCTTTGATATATATGGGACTGAGATCATTACCTGCCAGCTCTTCTGTCAGGCCTGTTTGCCTTTGGCTCTGAAGGGTTTGGCCAAGATCCTGACAGTGGTGGCCACACATTTCAGGCATCAGCAGCTGAAAGAGCAGCTCCCCAGAGCAGCATGGGGTGGTCTGCAGGTCACTCAGTGACCTTCTGGCTTGTGAGAGCTCATGTGAGAGATGCAAAACTCTGCCCTAACTCCTGTTCAGGTCTTGGGGTTCATAGAGGCTGCTCTGGGCTCTATAGGGATCAGCTGCCTTGCATTTAATTGCAGATGTTCATTACGGTGTGTACAGGGTGTCTGACAGACATCTGACCTTGGGGTTCTTTGGAGAGGTCTGGGGATGTTGGTCTGGTGGGCAGGAACAGCCCCGGCTCTGGGTTTATATTGCAAAGTGCTCCAGGGGAAATTACTCTTGGCTCAACCAGGGCTAAGTAAGGTGCACATTAAGTATTTGCTTGCCACGTAGCAAAATTAGAATGGTAAACAACAGAATACAATAAAATAGGGTCGAGTTGGAAGGGCCTTCAATGACCATTTAGTCCAACTGCAAATGATAATGATTCAAAAACCTTTACCAAAAGGCAGTTGTGCAGGAATGAAAATAAGCAAGTAAATGCTTATTTAGAGCTTAAATCAGTCATAAACCCTTCTGCTGTGTAGGATTCAGCTAATAAGATGGCAGATGCCTCTCAACAGCCGTGCCTGACAGAGCAGCAGCGAGAGTGACATTGATGTGTTCTCCTGTTGCAGACTCTGGGTTGAGCTAGACATGGTGCTAAGGCAGAGAATAACTGCTTGGTGGTGGCTGTGCAAGCTGGAAATCTCCTGGATCCTGTTACCTTTCCATGCATGGCATTTCAAACAGAAAGGCCAGCAGCAGCTCTGGTGTGTGATCCCCTGCAGAGCCAGGGCCAGAGGAGGGAGCTGGCAGGCACACGGTGCCCGCAGCGCTGCTCACCCACAGCACCACCCCTGGGCAGGGCTCCGTTCGGTGTGCTGGCTGCCCGTGCCTTGTGCCGCCCCCTGCCTGGGTGTAACAGCAAGGCACAGCACTCAAACGATCACATTTCTCTGTATTTATGAGAACAGGTGTGAGGGTGGAGGTTAAAGACCTGCATGATGACCAGATGGGGTGGAAGCAGGAGCTCAAGTACGCTGTCAGCATCAGGAGATGAGCTTTAGGGATGCCTCAGTCACCAGGAAAATGCCTGACAGGAGCTGCATCTCATTTGATGGGGATAAGGCAACCCTGGAGCACAAAGCTGCAGGAGAACAGGGTTTTTCCACTGCTCACAAAAGCAAGTCATTAAACACTGTGGCCTTTCACAAGAGTGCTTGTGTTGCCATCTAATAAAATACTCCCTGACGGTTTCTAGTCACCATTTTGTATTTTCTATTTTGATTTCAGCTGTGTGGCATTCGCTGTTTTTCAACCATCCATTTCCAGAGTGATTCTCTTTCTGCATGGACATCAGTGTAATCAATTTAGGGGTACTTGGATTTAAGCAGCTGCTTAATTCTGAAACTGGTGGGGGCTTTTTCTTTGTCAAAGCAGAGCCTGATACAGGATTCCCTGTGTTGGATGTAGGACTTTTTAGAGCTACAAGCTGCCCCCAATAGAACACCCAAGCTTGGGGTATATCTGACCATTGCTACTGTGAGAATTTCAGTGCACAGAGCTGAAACCAAAGGCCCTCCACATCAGACACTTCTTTTTCTGTTTATTTATTAAAAGGGTTGTCCTATTTTCTAGTCAGACTTGCTGACAGGCAGTGTTACCAGCTAACATTTGCTATTATCCCGTGCTGTTCCTTTGCCAACCCATAACCATTCAGAATTATGTCTTTCCAAGTCAAACCCAGTGCCATTTTGACCTAGAGTACAACTGCCAGCTTGTTTAGCTACCTGTTTTTTTTCCTAAATAGGTTACACTCAGTGATTCTTAAAATCAGTCATGTGGATGTTCACATCAGGTTGCAGTCGAACCAACTAGGTCAAATCTCTGCTCGTAGCTGAGCAGCTCCAATTCTTGTTGGTCAGCCCAGCCTCCCTCTTTTGGGTGTGAGCCTCTTCACGTGTCCCTCTTCATGCTTTATCTTGAGTTGTGTGATGCTCATCCCTTTGCAGATAAACAATCATTTTCCCTCTTTTCCTACCCAGCTTTCCCTTTTTTTTTTTTTTTCCTACTATCAGAAAAGACTTGATTGTCCTCATTTTGCTGATTTTTGATCTGGTTTTGAAGCTGGAAGCTCCCTTCTATGGACAAATTCAGCTCCTCTTTGAAAAGCCTGAGCAGGGCATGCAATTTGTAAAATAATGATGACACTGCCACTTATTTTCATGGTGTTTATCTAGTACAATGCAGTAATTAGATGAGTTGCCCAGCAAGCAAGGACCCTTTTCCCTTAGCAGCAGGCAGAGGAAGGGATGCAATCCCTGTTTCTCGGTTGCACAGAAGGGCTGCAGCTCCTGAAGGATTTACTCAGACCACAAATGCCAAGCTCCTGTGGATGCAATCACTGCCAGGTGGATGTGGCCAGTGTGCTCAAGGCAGGGATGTGAAATTAGACAAAAAGCAATAAATCAGTAGAAAACCAATGCTGTCTCTTGAACTTTCCCACACAAGTCAACAAGATTTCATTTACCAGCTGTGCATGTAGATTTTGTGTAATATTGTTATTGCTTGATTTTATAGCAGAGACATTAACAGTGTTGGCATTTACCTTGTGATGGTTATTGCTCCCAAGTTAGCACCTCTGCTGACAAAGGGCCTGTTGACATCTCTTGGGATGCTGGCTCCAAGCCTGGGTCTTGCCTGTAAAATTCAGTGGCACTGATGAACCTACTTGAGTTAAATTAGAGCAATTCCCTCCTACAGACCCTGACTTTACCTGGGAATTCCCAAATAAGAAAGCTGTACCAATTTGCTGGCAGAGAATTGTAAACCAGTGCTATGTCATTGCATTGCTTTTATCTCCACTGATGCTGCTGACATCTTTTCCCTGGTGCTGCTGTGGCATCAAAAGTCTGGTTTAGGACAAATCATGTTTTTCTGAAATTAAATATTAACCAGCAAGCAGTCTAACATTTGTTTTGGCTGTAAGTAGGACTTTGTTTTTAAAGCTTTCCCAATTTTTGCAATTTTAATGCAAAAATGTTATTTTTACATTAGGGAAAAAATCAGGCATAAAAAAAATCTGAGATGTTTGTGACATCTCACAGTGCTGAGCTTGGTTTTGTGGTGAATGCCTTTAACCCTTGGTTTTCCTTGTGCTGTTCATGCTTCTGATCATTTTGGGCAGCTCTTCCCCCTCAGTACTTATCCATCTCCTCCCAGGGTGTTGTGTCAGCCCTAAATAGAAAGGCTGGTTCCATATCCATGTCTGTTCCTGAGTGGAACTAGGGAATTTCTGGGCCTTTTAATCAGAAGTATCTGATGGAGAGGCAGAGCTGGATATGGATTAACGAATGTCTCAGGTTGATTTTTGGCTCTGGGCTCTGTGGCAGCAGCCTTGCAGCTTTACCACCTCTCTTTCATGGAGCTGAGAGTTAATTTCTGTTACTTAGCCTTGTGCTGGAAAATGGAGGGAGTTTTAGAAAGAAATAGGAAAGACACAATTTTTCAATTTACAAACAATAAAAAAAGGAAGGAAACAGTAGCTGCCCACCCTCCCAGTGACTGTGGGCAGGTGAGTAGAGCTGCCTGCCTGCCCTTCTTGTGATAAAAAGCATTCATAGGACATAATAAATGAAAACTTTAACAGTATAATTGTTAATACACTCAGTCAAACACTTGATATTCTTTAGTTGTACAAAATTATTACTCCATTGGTTACAGAGAGTGCAGCTGAGTTTGGACTCCATATCACCCAATATTTCTAATTCAGGAGTTAGGGCAGTGCAAAATCAATACATCCCCCATCAAACAGAGGAAATCCTGCCTTATTAAGGCATTCCAGTTTAATTGTTAATAGATACTCTAGTGGAACTGGGAGGAATTCTTTGGAACTGGTTATAAGCCCAGTGCTAGTTAACTATCAGTGATAAAGCCTGTAAAAAAACCAATATAGGGCTGAGCTGCAGTTTGGGCTTTTGTAACAGGAAAAAAAAAGGTTTCATAGATGGGTACAAATCATACAAATATTGGATCATCCTTGCAGAAGATGCAGTGAGCGTGGGCCTGTGTTTGATTCCATATGACTATTCTCATGTTCTTTCCTGAGGCATCTCTCCTGGATTGAGTTACTGTATTTGACAGACCAGATGATTTCTTCTGGTCTTAAAATTTCACGGGTATGTTCAACTGGTGCAAGTGAGAGACAGCGCAGCCTGTGTCACAGGGGGGTTGAGGCATCCTGGATAATTATAAAATAAATAAATGCAGTGTTGGTAGAAGTGCATGGAGTGAAGCTGCTGCTGGGAATGGGATGGAGGTGGTGCCCAGCATTACTTAGCACTTGAGAAGGTGCAGGGAGCTGGAGCCCAGTCTGGGAAAGCATCTCTGACCTGCCAGACAGTGAGCACCAACACCTTCCTCTGTCTTATGTGCCAGCAGTGAGGCTCAGGGCTAAATAACAGCACCTGCTCTATTGTTCCTCATGGGCTTTTCCATTTCCAAGAGAGCCACACTGTTTTGGGAAGGAAATCTGAACTTGTCTGGGTGTTACCTGACAGCTCCCTGATAGAGTCAGAATTCTTACTTGGCGGCAAGTATTTTTCATATCAAATGGGGAAAACCCCTGAATTTTGAAATTTGCAGTGGAATAGAATGACAGAATGGTTTGGGATGGGAGGGAGCTTACAGACCACCTCATTCCACCCCCTGGATACACCTTACTGGATACACATTCAGTATCCCAGGTTGCTCCAAGCCTCATCCAACCTGGCCTTGAACACTTCGAGGGATGGGGCAGCCACAGCTTCTCTGGGCAGAAAACCATTCTGCTGTTCCAAACAACAATTATTTATTTGACCATAAAATGTTATTTCAGAGTTGTTTAATACACCATTAGGATAGGGTGTGTCTAATACATAAATGCTGAGGGTTTTATAGAAATATTAAATTTAGGTGAGAAGGTGCATTTTGCTTTCTGACAGTACTTCCTTTGGTGTGTGGGGCTGAGCTCTCCAATCTCCACCAGCTACACATGGTTTTATGTGTTTTATGAGGCAGTGGCTCTGCAGCCCTTGACATCAGGAGTCAAACCCCAAATCTGAACTGAAGGGTGTCAGAACTAACAATGGAGGAGCTGCACATGCCAACAACATTCATGGCAGGTGCTGCTGTAGGGCCAGGAGCAATTTTCTCTTCAGTCTAGAACAGATCACTCTCTCCCTTAGTGCTTTGCTTTATTATTATTGTGATTCTTTCTCCAGAGAAGTGGGTTTCAACCTGCAGACAGAAAGTATTCCCAAAGTGCTATTTTACTATTTATTTTCATCGAACTTCCTATTACTGTGGCAACATGCACTTTGAATTTCATTAGTTTTATGCATTTAAGTTCCCTTTTTAAACCTTTATAAGGTCAGGCCCTGCTTGGGTAAATCAACAATGTATTAAATTTGAGGTTCTGAGTAATACTTTTCCTTAAACAGCTGTAGATCACAGGTAGTGAGGGCATTAGGGCTTCTGCTTTTTTAAGAAATATTTGTGGGCATTACTGATAAGCACATGGACCAAATTATTTGGTAATTAGATAAATATTTTCCATCACGGATTCATTCTCGTGCACTTGTGATGCATCAGCAGCACATTACAGGGTGCCTGCCCTGAAGCCACACGGGAGGAGGGTGTGCAGGCTGTCATGCTGTGCACTGCAGCTCAAAGCTCTTGCAGCTGGAGCTGCTCCAGAGCTCCTTGGGATGTTCAGGAGCATCCCTCAGCACTGTGGGGTGCTGAGCATCCTACCCAGGCTGTGGGGCTGTGGGACTGCTGCAGAACCAGCAGTGGGTGCAGTGCCAGCCTCAGGGCTGCTCCTTGTAAGTAGCTCCGGTTTCACAGCGAGGTTTCATCACCCTGTCCTGGGGACCAGAGTCATCCCAGCTGGCGTTTTTTGCCCAGCCAAGACTCACATCACCCAGAAGAGGGTTCAGCTGGGGGCAGCCAGCCCACAAAACCCCTGTTGTCTGTGTTTGCCACTTCAGTGGTGGTTACTAAAAGGGAGCCAGTGTGCTCTCTCTTGATTTCCCACTGCTGTGGCCCCTGGGAAACAAGCCCTTAGCTGCTTTCACCTGTGACTTGCTTGGTTCTGCCTGACAGGTGAGGAAGTACAAGTAGTTCTCCTGCCTCCATCAGGCTTTTGGAGGGGTTTTCCTTTAATAAATGGGCTCTGGTTTCACAGCCACTTGTGCGTGTGGCTGTGAGAAGCCAGTTTAGTGCGTGTTGGCCGTGTCCCTGCAGAAAGGGCCCTGCAGGCTGCAGAGCAGAGTCACGGCTGCCTCCTGCAGTGGGTTTGTGCTGGAGAAGTGCTGGGAGCCCTGGCTGGCAGGAGGCTGAGCTTCTCAAACTTCTCACGCACGTTTTTATGTGCAACTTTCTGACTAAAGTTCAACTCGGAATACACCGAGTAATTCAATTGCATCTCTGCCGCTGGGTTATGTAAGAGAAAGCTGAAATCGCGCCTCGTTTCGTAAGGTAACATGTATCCTTCTGCTGATCTGAGCAATTTCATGGTTTGCAGTGGGGTTCTGCTGTTACTTCTTGACTGAGCTGGGATTTTGAGGGGGAGAGGGTGTTGTAGCAGTTTTCTACATTAACTGGCATACAAATGTTTGAAACCTGGGCTTACTGTGTGTGTTTTGATGGTGTTTCAGCACGCTGAGGAGACCGGAGCAGCTGGAGCAGGCCGGGGGCCAGCGGTCAGCATCGCCCTCGCTCGCACAGCCTGCCGGCAGCTCCCAGAGCCCACGGGAGATGCGCGGCCGGGGCCAGCCCGCAGCAGCGGCGGCAGAGGGGCCGCGGAGGACGCTGCAGGTGGACGCCAGGAGCCAGGGCTCGGGCAGGTCTCCCTCGGTGTCACCGGAGCGGGGCAGCACCCCCACCTCGCCCTACTCCGTCCCGCAGATCGCCCCCCTCCCCAGCAGCACCCTCTGCCCCATCTGCAAGACCACAGAGCTCACCTCCTCCCCCGGGCAGCCTAACTTCAATGCCTGCACTCAGTGTCACAGCAAGGTCTGCAACCAGTGTGGCTTCAACCCCAACCCGCACCTCACCCAGGTAATGCCTCCTCTTCCTCACGCAGCTTCCTGGCTGCTTCGGGTGGGTTCTTGCTTTCTCCAAGCACAGAAGTTGCACCTTTGCTTTTGGCAGCTGCAAAGCATTGACCAGGAGCAAGGGTTCTGCTGGTAATAAGGGAATAATTGTGATAATGTGAGCTTTGATGAAATGGGGCAGATAAATTAGTTGAAGGGGGTTGGTAGATTAGCAGGGCTCAGTCTCTGTTGAGATGTCCCAACAGGCTGAATTCTCCACTGTCAAAATTGTCCCTGAGTCCAAGGACTCGACAGCAAGGAGGGGAGCAGGGGGCTGCACTCCAGGCCGAGGTGAGGATGTCTCAGTGTCTCAGCCCTGACTCACCGCAGGCTCTGGTGGGCTCCAGCCGCGTCACGCCGGGCGCAGGGAGGGAAGCGCCAGGAGTCGTGCACGACACGCGGCAGGGCCGGGGGAGGAGCGTTCCCTCCGTGGGATGTGTGACATGGATGCTCGGGGGCTGGGGGCGGACCCGGCAGCGGTGCCGAAGGCGGTGCTGGGGCTGGCTGAGGTGAGGCGCTCCCTGTGCCAATCTTCAGGTCACAGATCTCCACGCAGGGTGGGAAGTGATTGGATGGCTTTTTCAGCTTGAAGAGCCAAACCGCAGGGGTTTCTGATCTTAAAACAGAAACTTAAAGCTGCACTTTGGAAAGCAACTATGCCATTCCAGTGCTTGATAAGACAGGATTTAGGCACTGAAGCCCCCGGGATACCCAGGATTTACTGCCAGTAGCCATTTTGTGGTAAGCATGCAATGCTTGCTCCTGATGCTAGACACAGCAGTACCTAAGCATCCTTGTTTGAGGAAGTCCTGCCTTCCAGTCCTTTATCCTGATGGAAGAAATCCTAGAGTTATGGAATGGTTTGGGTTGGAAGGGACCTTGAAGATCAAGTAGTTCCAGCCTCCCCCCATGATCAGGGCTACCTTCCACTAGACCAGGTTGCTCCAAGCTCCATCCAGTCTGGCATTGAACACTTCCAGGGATGTGACATTCACAGCTTCCCTGGGCAACCTTTTCCAGTGCCTCACTACACTCATAGTAAAGAATTTTTTCCTTTTATCTAATCTAACATACTCTCTTGGAATTTGAACCCATTCCCCCCTATCCTGTCACTACATGCCCTTGTAAATAGTCTTGCCCCATGAAGGAGATACCCCTGCTATAATGATGCATAATTAGCTGGTTCCTGATATTACTTCACGGGTATTTACCTCTGCAAAGATCCAAATAAGGTCTCAGATCTTAATAAAGAGCCCTGAGGTGGAAATTCAGAGTCCTGCAAAGAAATGCCATGGGCTACTTTTCTGTTTTGCTTATAAGTTTCATCTTTAGTTAGATTTGCCAATCATTAATTTGGTGTCCAAGCATTGCCTTGAAAGTTGTCCAGTTACTCTGAACAGTATCAGTTAACAAGGAAACAACAAAATAAAAATGCAATAGTTTCTCAGTTTCTGGTCTTTTCTCTTCTGCTTTACCCACAGTGGGCTCTATCCTGAGTCTCTCTTGCAGATACCAATATTAAAATATGTCTGTGCACAGAGACTTTTCTTAACTGCTCTAGGCCATTTTGCTCTTGGCATCTCTAGGTCTCTGTGCCCTCAGAAATGTGTTTGACTGCAGAGCATTTTTAAACATCAAATCAAAAAAGAATTGGACCTGAAATGGAAAAAGAGGTTGTTTTTTTGGTCTGTCCTGAGTTTAATATGCATTTCAGCAGCAAGCAACCTTATGACTTGTAAGTAGGTCGTTGTGGGAGCTGGGGGATGAAAACAGTTGTCCAAGAGAAGTGTTTGCAGCTCATGTTAGCAGCCTGTGTGATGGGCTGGCCGGGGGAGCAGCAGTGGTTGCTGCCTGGTTGGAAGTGTGACTCATTTTCCTCAGCATCATTCCTTGTGCTGCTATCCCAGAGTCACACAGAGAGGTGCCTGAACATCCTGGTGCTGTTACTGGGGGTAGTGGAGGCAGCTGGAAGGGTTGGGAAGGATCTCTGCAGGTTTCCTGTTCCAACCTCTGCTCAAAGCACAAGCAGGGAAGGGATCTCAAGGCTGTACCCCATCAGCTCCTGGAACCTTCCAAGGGTCCACATGCTGGGCCCAGCTGCTCCACTGCCTCCCCTCACAGGGAAAACATCCACACAGTCTGATTCCTCCAACCCAGCACGTGCTGCAGGGTGGCTGCATGAGGTGTTGTATTTTGTATTTGCATGAGGTGTTGTATTTTCTATTTGCATTTCCTTATGAATGTACTTTCATGTGTATAGTTGCCACTGCCACTTTGTGCTGCAGCAGATATGAATTTGTGACTTCTTTCTGCTTTCAAGGCTCTCTAGCAGGATTATATCATCAAAAATACCACGTTTTCTAAGAAAATCAAATCCAAGAAAACCATAATTGTGTTTTGCTTGGTACATCCTCTCCTGTGCAATCCGTGGAAATGCCAGAAACCAGTGGCATGGTGAGGTAGGAGCCACAGGGCTGGTTTGGCATAATGATCTCTCAAACTGTTTTGAGAGTTGTATATAAATGTAAATCTTGCATAAACACTTTGTTTGCATTAGTCTTTTACTTGTGTATATATATCCACAGCATAAAATAGCTTTTTGTAATATAAATTTAAAGAAAACAATAGACTGAGTGTGTGAGCTGTAATCCATCAAGGCCTATCTTGCCACTTTCAACTCCAAGAGCAGATTTTTCAGAGGAGGGTTGACTGCACCACCTTCACTTTGTACTTCAGTAATACCTTCTCCTCAGAAGCACATAATTCCCTTTGAAATACTATTTTTCTTTAGCTGTTATTTTATTCCTTTTTGTTTGACTTGATGGTCATTTTATCTTAAAAGCAATTAATGAATTTTTGTGCTGATGAAGCAATCAGCTTCTGTGGCATCTCGAGTTGATCACTCGCTGAGAAAAACAAAATCTCTTTTTGGGTTTTTATTTCACTGTCTGTTTATTCCTTTGAGCAGCAGCTCGTTCTTGTTTCACAAGACTGGGCAAACAGAAGTTCCTGTCTGCTGCTGGTGTCACTCATATTTTACATGTAGATAATTATATTGTTCCCTCTGTTCATCCCGTGCCCTGAAATAGCTGCTGTCATCATTTTCAATTTGGTCGTGTGCTGGTGAGCTGCTTTCCTTGTTCATTCACTTATTCCTGAAGGTCAGAGCTCTTGCCATAGACAGTTATTTCAAGCAAGGAAAGGGAATTATCAAGCAGGGAGCAATGGTGGCACCATTAAAGACAACAAATTTTAAAATAACGTGTTAAAGTCTAGCAGTTTGTTTCCAGTCCTGTGCAGAAAATAGGTTTTTGAATGGAGATGTGTTATTTTAAGTGCAACATTGCAGCTTTCACATTCTAGTAGGATTTTTAATTTCTCATTAAAACTTTTTTTCTACTTTTCCTCTGTGTTGTCTCTGAGGGTGTTTTTGGACAGCTTGTTCTGTAGGACCATACCAGTGATGCTGTCATCCCCTCCAGGGGGAATAGCTCAGTTTCAAACCAGTACAATAGGTTTAGAAAATCCTCTTTTTATACATCTCTCACTTTGTTCTGCCGCTCCTGTGGCTTTTGCCTGACTGATCCAGCAGCATGTTCATCTGATTGGATTTGCTCTGTTTGGTATCATAAGGAGTAACCTGCAGGCATCCTTTCTGCTTCTCTGGGGTTTTGAAGTGCTGCTGCACATTGCTAATTTGATAAATTAATTTCTTCTTCAGTCTTCTCTTAAAATTTGTTGGGTTTCTTTTAATTTGTTTTCTCACCATCCTAAACGCTAAACCAAAAACACGAACTTGAGTTTGATTTTAATCAAGAGCAGCAGCACAGCATTAAAACATGTGCTTTAGTTAGAGCTGAAATGAAACTCAAAATGCCTGGCTGCCTAATAGGTCTGCTTGGAACCACCTGGGATTACAGAAAACCTTTCTTGTCTGCCTTACATTTCCTATTGTGCCTTTTTCAATTTGAAGTAGTGTTTATTAGAGGCAGTTTCATAAATATTCAGATGCACCTCCCTGAATAAAAGGAACATGTTCATACATGTGTGTTCTTTACCAAATTACTTTCATTTTGAAGGCCCTGCTTTTGTCCCCAAGCTGTTTTGATTTTATTTGCTGTATTTGTGGCCATATTTATGACTTATAATTGTAAACTTCAGTTCTTCCCCATGTTTTTAGCTCCACTTAGGGAGATTGAAGAGGTTCTTTGTACTTTTTAATGCTATGAATATAATGAATTATGAAATATTTAAAATATTTGAGAGCAAATCTGTTCCCTGAATGCTCTGTGCCGTGTAAGCTCATCACAAACCTTTGGTCACGGACCTTCAGCAAGCAAAATGTAAAAAGTCTTAAGCAGAATTAAAAACTTGCTGGTTGGTTTCCCAACAGTGGTCAGGGTTGTTTGACAGGAGAAGAAAATTCTCAGCACCTCTTGAGTTATCTGTAGCATGAGGAGGTGGCCACAAAAATCATTGAAAGTTTTTAAGTAAATGTTTAAATTGTATTAATGGAAAACAGACCATCAGCTGAGGAGATGTGACTGAAATAATGTGAGCATTGTGTAGGGCTGTGTTTATCCTGTCATAACCTCACAGCAGATGGTTTTCTGCTCAGTAGTATAAGGAAATTTGGGTAAAGTGGAAAAAAGAAGTTGGGAGAAGCTGAAGGCTTCTGGATGCTGAGGGCTGCAGGATGCTGTGACACAATGCAGAGCGTCTTTGGTGGGAGGAGCGGGGCTGGTTGGCACTGGAGGAATGTCTGTGCTCCAAAGCCTTTTCCAACCTGGCTGTGCTGTCAAGAGTGGTGCCTGCCCACAGCATCACCTCACTCATTTAGCAAATTACTGAAAAAACCTCCAATATTGAAATTGTGAAGCTCTTACACTGCTTTCAAAGGACCCCATTTCTCCTTTGGTTCATTGTCCCAGTTGTGCACATTGCACCATGTCAGTCCAATTTTCA